TTAACAGAACAAATGTTTAATAGCTAATAATACAGCAGAGCCCGTTTTAAATTCCCTTTGCAACTTCAGTTGCATTATATTATTGTCCTTTTCACCTATAGACATTACAGGCAATTATCATTACATGTATTACATTACCCATCACACGAGGACATAGTTCAGGGGAGAGATAAATTAATGCTAAACTGTCCACTCCTGAGAGAAGGAAAAATTCAACAGGTAAGTTGCTGCCCTTTAAAAAAAAATCCCTGCCCCGTCACCTAATGTTGATCCTTTGAGTCAAAGAGAGCTCCAAAGACCAAGAGGCACAAAAGGAAATAGTGATTGTTATCTCCAAAAGATGTATGCAGAAAACACTGTTTTCATGGCAGCTGAAGAAAGGCATACAAAGAATCAGAAAGAAATCCTCATTGCTCGTGTCCAGACTGTTGAAAACTAAAGCTTGGCATGACTCACCCATTAGCCTGGGCTCCTTACAACATTTAGCATGTATTCAGAGTTTGTAATTTCTAAAGCTTCACATATGCAAGAGTTAATCAACGTACTGCAAAGGTGAAATAAGGGAAACTGACATCCCATCCCACACTTCAGCATTTTTCATAGCAGAACAGCTCATGAATGTTGACTGCCTTAATTAACAGGCTGAACAAAGAGTGTTAATGTGAGGGAATATCATGCACCTTCAGCAAGTTTGCAGAAGTCATCAAAATGAGGCAAGTGGTTGATGCAGTGAAGAGCTGGGCCAACATTCTGAAAAAGCTCAGAAAGCTGAAAAGCTCAAGAAACAGACTGACAGAAACCTCCTACAGTTCATTAAAGGCAAATACAAACTTCTGTACTCGGGAAGGAATAACTTCAGGTAATACTGCAGACAGATGCTGAAAATGCACACACTGTGTGCTCAATTCTCCCAAATGTCCTGATGGCTCTTTCCTGGGTGTCACTCTTGTTTCTCACTGTCCTGTATTCTGGAGCCCAAAACAGAACGCACTATTCCAGATACGATCCCACAAGTAAAGAACAGAGAATAATAATCACTTCTCTCAACCTTCCAGCTATTCTTTCTCAGATTTGCTTTTATTGCTGCAAAGACTCTGCTGATTCATATTCAGCTTTTACATTTGGTCCCCAAGGTCCTCTGTAAGAGAGGCCTTAATGCCCATTTTACTGGCTCGTGCTCTTTTCCCTCACCCTAAAATCATTTATAAATGACAAAGTTGAAATTCAAAGATGGTGGCAGAGGATGTTTGAGGTATTTCCTCAGGCATGGGCTGCATGCAGCTCAGGCTATTGACCAATCTCGCTAAGCCCTTCTTTGGCATGCTGCACCACACTTAGAACCCTGATGGAAAAATACAAGCCAGGCTTAGCCTGGTTACAGCCACCTTCCAAAACACACTGCTGGAGGTAGGGAGAATATTTCTTCTGAAACTTTTACTTTTCTTCCTCCCTCCATTACACAGCCCTCTGCACAGCACTGAGGTATGCATGGCGTATGAATGCAGCTGGCTAGAGCAGACAGTCATGCAGTAGGAGCAGGGAAGATCACAGTTCAAGAAAGGAAATGGAGGTTGGAAATATTTTGACCTGTCTTGAAGCATGCAGTGCTTCATTCCAGCATTCTGACATATCTGTGGAGTTACTGCTGGGTTCTGAATTAGCATGGCATTTTGCACAAAAGTGTACTTTTTGCCTGCATTCTATTCTATTTTTCATCTGCAAGCCAATGAATCCCCGGATTTCATCCTTGGAGCTGATCCAGTCACAAAATAACCTTCAGTGATTCACATGTTCATCTTTTCCTGAACAACAGTTGCCAGGTTATACATTAGTCATGTAATGGCAGGAGTATCACTCCCAATCCATTCTTTGAGTACTGATGTCTAGTAGATATCAGTGACTGAGATTAACTCCAGCCTGTGCTCTCCAACAATTAAACATAATCTAAAATTGAACCCAAAGCAATAACAAATCTGGGTTCCACACGGGTTTTAGACCTATTTTAACTGCTACTATCCTTTTTTTCTTTTCTGTGCAATCTTCTACAGCAAAGTGCAGCTGGAAACCTTTGGCATCATGACAGTCACAGAACTATGGCCACAGCAGTGGCTGCACAAGAATTCCTGACTTATAGAGGAGTTTTACAGTGTCCAGACACAAAGTGCAGCGTGGGCACAGGGACAGTGGTAACATCACAGAGCAACAGGTGATGACACGTTGAAGAGAAGGACTGTGACCACATCACCCTCACTGAGCACCTTTGGCGTGGGCAGAGCCTGGTCCAGTTTGTTCGTGCCTGAACTCCTGTCGAGCGTGTGTGCGAGGCTTGGAGGTGGAACGAGCGTTTGGTTTGGGTGTTGGGTTGTGCTTTGGGGACTGCGGGCAGCGGCTCTCAGTGCCCATCCCTACAGCCATCACCTGCATTTCCCTGGCCTGTCTGCCTCAGGCAGCCGGGGTCCCACGAGGCGCACGCGTAGCAGCAGAGGTGAGCTGGGTGGAAATGGGGTGAGCGCTGGGATGTGGGGAGCTGCCAGGGCCGAAGCCTGACCCTGAGGGGTGTGGGCGGCCCAGGCATGGGACCAGGAGGGTTTCCTGCCGAGTGACTGGCATATTTCCTCTGCCTGACCCTGGGACAGCGATTGACGGTGGCCTCTCTCCCTTCTTGCAGTGCGCAACTTCCATCACTGTGGTGCTGGTGACGGGGGAGCAGATCCTCGCCTTCAGTCCCCAGCAGGCCACAGCGTGAACATCATGGCAGCTGAGCAGGCATGGATGTGTCCCATCTGCCGTGACGAGCAAAAGGACGTGGCCTATGTGGTACCTTGCCACCACGAGTTCTGCCTGGTCTGCATCCTGCAGTGGGCCAAGCAGAGGAACAGCTGCCCGCTCTGCAGGATGGTCATGACTGTCATCAAGGTTGCTGAGTGGGACAATAACAATGACCTGGATTTCGTTATCCAGCCCCCAGCACAGCCTGAACCCACCAGCTTCCAGGCAGGCATTGCTCCTGCCTACAGCCCCCACAGCGCTTTGCCATCTCCTTCGCTGTCCCCTTTGCCATCCCCTCTGCCCTTTCTGCCGCTGCCAGAGGAGCAGGAGAGTGAGGAGGCAGAAGAGCAGGATGCTCAGGAGGCAGATGAAGAGGGGGCTGAGGAAGTAGTGGAGCAGTGGGCAATGGAGGAGGACGAGCAGTGGGCAATGGAGCAGGAAGAGCAGCGGGCAGAGGCGGTGGAGGAGCAGCGGGCCGAGGAGCCAGATGAAGGGGAGGCAGAGGAGACAGAGCAGCTGCAAGCTGATGAAGCAGACAAACAGGAGGCTGAGGAGGCTGAGGAGGCAGAGGAGCTGCAGGCTGAGGAGGCAGAGGATGAGCCTACAGTGGGAGGTCTCCTGCCTGAGGTCTGGGCAGCTCTGTTCAGGCAGCACCAGCAGATCCTGGACCCTGTGCTGCCCTGGCTGCGGCAAGCGCTGACAGTCATCTTTGGGGCACAGTGGTGGCCGACGCTGCCAACCGAGAGCATCATCCTGAATGCTCTGTGCAAGGTCGGGCTGGACAGCCAGGCCCTGGTCCAGGAGGTGTGGCCTGTCCTGGAGGACAGAGCAGAGGCCCTCATCCAGAGACTCATGGACACCATTGTGTGCCACTGTGGCGAGGAGGCCCTCAGTCAGCTGGGCCTCCAAGGTGCCAACGAGGCCTTGGGAGCAGCAGGACAGCCCTGTGGCTGCTCCGAGCCCCACAGCCTCCCTACGAGCGACCCTCAGCTCATGGCCCGACAGTCCCAACACGCAGGACCTGCCCAGCGCACTGCAGGCTGTCCTTCATGGCTGCCCCAGTCACTGCCCCACCGCTCACAGCCTGAGGGAACCACGAGGAGACAGAGCGGGGCACAGCGGCTCTTCAGCTCCTCGCCGCTCCCCTGTCGGCGCCCAGCGGCCCCTAAGAGAAGGGCTGACAGTGACGACGACCCAGAGCAGCCCTGCAAGAGGCTGTGCCATCAGTGGCGCTAGCAGCATCTTTAATTAAAAATAAAGGTAGAAAAGATTAGTCCGCAAAATCTCAGTTTCACTCCAAACGGAGCTGGCGATCCACGCGGGCAGTGCTGCATCCTGCCCCTCAGCCAACCATCACCACCAGGCCGTCATGTTTGTACAACTTATTCTGTTTTGTCCTTACGGATCACAGACATCAACATTGCAGAAAGAAAGATAAAGCCAGCACAAAAAGTTTGTGCAGATCAGCTCCTGCCTACCAATGTGCTCCACCCATCTTGAAAATCACAGGGCTTTTACTGTTTCATCTTTCAAATCAGAAACTTAAAAAAGAATCACTGCTAGAAAAATGGGGGAAAAAGCAAGGAGACAGAGAGTAAAAAGAAAGTATTGGTGTGATAAGCCTCTCATTTAACTAATTCTCCAAAAGTCTCTCTTGTAGTACAGTCCAGACCATAAAGAGATTGGCTGAACTTAACACAAAGGCAACATTTCCCCCAAAAGCTGGAGATAATATGGAAACTCAGTCTTTTTTGAACTTGTCTAACTTAGCTGCGCAGCGTCACGTAGGAAAGTATTCCTTCTATTTACCTTCATAGACAAATGCATTTTCTAGTATCAAATGTAAAGACAAAATCAGACGGGCCTAGCAAGCAAGAAATCCACAATGGATTTAGCTTAAAAGTATGTATAGGAATTATAATTTCTCAGTTCTGTAAGTGTAACTACTATCTTTTTACTGCTTTTTATTCCTGTCAGTTTTGAGCAGCCATGGCAGATGGGGAAGAGGCTGAGGTTTTTTATGTCTGGCACATCAGTCTTGTTTCTTATTAGGGATTTTGGTTACCTCACGTTTTGATGTTTCTGGGCAATGGATGAGAGCTTAGCTGAGATGTGTTATGCTTTTTTCAGAGTACCAGAACTGGATAAAATCACAAACTGACTGGGAGAAAACACAACTGACTGGGAGACATGTATGAAGTAGAATAACTACAAAGGTAAAGAAGACATACCTTCTGCAAAAAGTGACATCATATTTGTGCTTTTGTTGGCGACCACGTTGTTCAGTAAGGCGACTGCAGTTTGCATTGTATTCCCTAGTATATTGTCTTGGTGTTCCTGTAATTAAAAATAAAAAAAAAAACCTAGTATTTATTCTGAAAGGTTAGTAAAAGACTGCTTCCTTCTAAAAATGTAGTAACATAAAAGCATTACTCTCTAAATCCCTTGAGTTTCAATGTTTAAAATACCAGAAAACTTAAAAATATCAACCAAATATAGCCAAATATAAAAAACTTGGGCCAAAACTTTTTCCTTTTAATCAGAAGAATTCATAGTTAGGTGTAAAATGTTAGGACTTCTAAAAATATTATCGAGTCTTATCAGTCTCTAATCTCTATATATTCAGAACCAGGAACATTTCCCTTTATACAACATCACTTCTAGTAATAGTATTAACATTACTCTTATCAGTTTCAGCTCGATAACCGATAATAAGTCATAGTCAACCTTTATCTCTGTTTGTACAGTCATAAGTATAAAATTAATTCCATATACATATCAGGTGTCTATTTCTATATCAAGGTCAGGCTGGATGGGGTGTGAGCACCCTGATCTTGCTGTAGGTGCCCCTGTTCATTGTAGAGGCGTTGGACTGAATGGTCTTCAAGGGTCTCTTCCAACTCAAAAGATTCTACAATTCTATGACTCTTTTGCTGCTGTTGGACTTAACACACCTGCACACTTAGTTTGAAAGGAGTGGATAAGGCAGTGAGAACAAAACATTTATTTACTCATGCTAGTCACCATAATAACTCATATAGCTTCCAAATACCCAAAATAGGACAAGTTTTTACAACTCTGAGTCTAGATATAAATATCAACCTGAATGGATTTCATGTCTCTACAGGGGGCTCAGGAAATATTGGATCTAATTTTTTCAGACTAAAATCTTAATAGAAGCACACATCCAAAGTGAAAATAATATTAATAAAAAGTCCTATTTCACATATTGCAGCTTTTTCACATGAATCTTCACTTCCAGGCTTCTCTGTCCCGTCAAATTTCTCAATATACTGACATTACTTGACTACTTCACTGCCACAGAACATGCTGTATCTTCTGAGCCATTTCCTGAAGCAGCTCTTTGAAAAAAAGCTCAAATTTGAAGTTGAACAAGACAGAAGATTATTGATCTAAAGTTCAGTGAAGTATCTCTAATGCCAAAAGTGACTTCAGTCCCTGAATACAGTTGAACAAACCTCCTCCCTGAAAGTTTCTTTAGAAGATGAATGCCAGTGGCCAGGAACAGTTTATTTTCTGCAGCTCTCTGCTCAGGTATTTATGACCTTCTGTCTCCGATATATTCTTGAAAACAGCAGCAATTTATTCTTTGGGAAAATGGTATTGATCATCTAAGTGCCATAGCTTCCGCAGAATTAGCCTGACTGTCAGCCATCAGCAATCACAAGTAACATGTTTTACTACTCTTCCAAGAATTCACACCAAGTCAACTTACGAATGACTTTCAGAGTGATATCTCTGGTTTTAAAAGTCACTTTCTACATTGGGTCAGGACTCAGCAACAGCACTGCTTTTAGGAAAAGCCATGCTACCCAAATCCCTACCTGTGGCTGTAAGAAATGTTTAAGCAAGAATCTCCAGAGTTTTCTTTCTTTCCCAGTCAGACGAAATAGATAGGATACTGTAAAGTGTGTATTCAGTGCCTCTTCAGAAAGTACTGTTATAGTGGTAGAAAGGGTCATGCTATGTGAAAAACAAATGCTTTCCTTTAAACATTTATCAGTCGAAGGATTTTTTTCACAGGCAGAGACTCAGACATTTGCTTTGAGGGAATTAATTTCTGTTATTGCACTCCAAAACTAAAACCAAATGCTATTATATACTATAAATACCATGAAACATACGTGATAAGGTGTAGTGTATTAAAGCATGAAGAAATATAGAAGCATTCCCAGCCTACTATTCAACTTAAGGCCCTAGGAATTTTCTGCTTCTACTAGAGCTCTTCAAATGTATCATGAGAAATGATGAGGAAGAGTGCAGTTTTCTACCAAACACTAAAAGAATATGAATATCTGAAGTTCTATTCACTTTACGTAGCACTCCGACACATCATTAATGACTTCTATATCCCTATCAATGTTTAAAACACAGCCAGATACATTTAAAAGCTATGTTGGAAAGCATAAACACCACATTCTTCAGAAGATAAATCTGGAAAATAGAAAAGAGACACCATAAAGTCATAATACTAAAAATAAATTTGAAGTTATTGCTTACAGATAGCTGAAGGGTAAGAAAAGCATTTATTGGAAAGACCAACATGTTCATCTAGCATCAGAGTATCTTAACTCTCAAAAAGGACATTTGGAATACAATACCTTTCATAGACGCAACAAAATCAGTTGGTGTTGTACAAGATAATTATACACACATACATTGAAAATACAAAATTAATAAAAACAAAATACTCTAGAAGTGCCAAAATAAGAGATGACTCATACTTTCCTTGCAAGTATTTGCTACTGCTTCATATATTTCTGAAGTAAACATCTTCTAGTAGAATTCCCCTTTGAAATATGCAATTATAATAAAAGTTGGTAGTTGTTTGTGATAGCAATCTTTTGCATTTATCAGTTGACTCCTGTTAAAATGAAGCCAACGTTGCTTTAAGTGAAGATCAATTACACTACACAACCCTCTAGTGAAAGACTGATACTGAAGCTGTTACTTGTACTAAAGTAGGTGCAACAAAAACCTACATTACCCTCAATACATACAGACTAGAATTCAAGATGGAAATGTATATTGTGAAAACAAAACAGTCACTTACTGAATAAAATAATCTTATAAGAAGTGTACTCAGCTGGAATACTAGAGTTTTAATGTATGTATCACAGATACACTGTGACAAGATACTGGGTTTCAAGAAGCTACAGGTATGCTTTACTTAAGTCATCACTGATTGCTGATAGAGTAGATTTTAAAATATAAAAAAATATATGTAACTTGTTCATAATCTATCAAGGAGCAAAGCTGATCTAATTTGTGTGCACAGCACCACAGACTGGATATTTAATGAACAGTGCACTTGACAGCTTTAATAAAACATAGCATTTGCCAGCAGAGATAATTAGAATTGAAGAAGCGAAATTCTAGTGTTTGGCAACACAGATGAAACAACTTCATTAAAATGTACAGCTTCAGCAAATGAAAGGCAGGAAAGCACTGGACCCTGAAGAATCAGCCTTCTCAAAACTAATTGCTTCAGTGCTTAAAAAGGACAGCTATAAAATATCAAGGGCACAACAAGGAAATACTAGTATAGAAAAAGAACCACAGAAGATAAATCAGGCTTTTCAAATGGGACTGCGCTGTATTTAGGCCATTAAACTTTTCATTCTCATTTTGAAGGGTTGCATGTTAACAAAAGACATAAGTTGAAGTATTTTTTAAAGTCAGTTAGGTAAGAGGGTATGAATTAGCAAGGTGGGAGTATGAAACTAAGGTACTATAGTCTAAAGCTACTGCTTCTCTTCCTTTAGTATATTAGGGCAGCTTAGGTAGACTATGGTATTTTAATTACATTTTAGATAAAAGATCAGATAGCAACTGTGGTAAGAAGTTACCAATTTGTGAGACTTCACATACCTGTCTCCAACTCATTTAACTAAGAATCTAAAAAAACAAAGGCTCTAAATGCTATTTTTGCAGATATGCTGTAATTAAATGTAAGTGTTCCACAGCAGCACTGTTCATTCAGTGTAATCAGAATGATTAACTGTACAGGGACTCTCCTTCCCAAGCTTATATATGAGCTATGAACGTGAGTTAGGAAGAAAAGAGGACATAACAAGGAGGAGGTTTGATTTTCATACAGGAAATCCATTGAAAGATGAAAATTACAGAAGTGAACCACAGCCTAGCTACATTTACTAAAAGATACAATTTTTACTTGATGGTTGACTGACCATCGTTGATGCTCACAAGGACATCACAAGGAGCACAACTTAATACTGCATTCAACCTAGGTAACTATGATACAGTGTATTATTTTGTATGCATGAAATAGAGGATCAAAAACTTTTCTGCATGTAACAGTGGTACCAATCTTTAGGAAAGCAGTATTATTAGCACGTAGCCTACAAGGGACATTTACAGTAGCCTACGTACTGTTCTTTAGACAAAAACAAAGTTCACTGAGAAACAAATTTAAAGCAGCTATGAACAGACTAAACAGGCCTTAAACGTTTTGTGACTTATGATGCAAAGACCAGTCAGTGCATTAGCTGAAAGCATTTAAGCACAGATCTCTAATTTTAACCCAGCACTATTTTGCTTTTTCATGATAAAAGTCAGGAAAAACAAAACAACAACAACAACAAAAACAGTCTAAAATAGATATCTCTCTTGTGATCATGCTTTCCAAAAAACAGCCTTGCTCAAGGGTAGTTTTTACAGAACCGGTATTCCTAAATCTTTTCCTATGACATGCCATAAGGAGCTACTACAAAGCTAGCAAACAATTTCTGGAATAACCATGCTTCTTGGATGGGTCACAACAGTGATATGTTCAGTCCACACCTGTAGATGAGAAATCTTGTAACTTTCAAAAAGAATGCTGCTTAAATACTGAAAAAAATAAAAACTGTACTCTTAGTCTCCAAGTGCTTAAGGAGAGTTGGTTGGGGACAGGGTAACAGGAATAATTTTTAAGAAGTGAAGGACATAGGAGGCCACTAATAAAATCCCAGTGTCAAGTATCAGCAAACAGAAAGAGATGGCCATAGAATTTGCTCTCCCACCCATTGCAGCAGGTGATATAAAATTACACAATATTTTTTCAGAAGTACATCAATGTACTACTATGTTATCTTACACAGGTTCAGATTTTCAGACATCTAACAATCTTTTTTTTTCTTTTTCTAATTCTGAAACTCATTTCTTGCCTCCTTTTCATCTCCCCAAGTTCCTTGTTATCTTGGAGACAAACATGCAATTCTTCTGCACTAATGGTGAGAACTTCACGAGGCGTAAGGAGGAAAGGTGATATTTAAACAAACAGAGCTATAAGGAATGTTGCCTCTGTGGAATGA